GCCTAACACGGGTACGGGGCAGCGTGGCGTGTATCGGTCTGTTTCTGCGCGGCCTGACAGCATCGGACAAGGGCCATCGGCCAGCCGTAGCTAGGCTAGGCTGTCTTTCTGGTGCCACTGGCTAACAGCACTTCTCACGCTCGGCTGGGGCAAAGTCTTATTCTTCCGCCCGGTCTGTTCAGCATCACTTCTGGCCAAGCCTGCTGCTTTTACGCCGTGGCTACTTTTTCAAACTAGCTTGCTCTCGATTTTTAGGCCGGTTTCACTGCAGTGAGTGCCAAGGCGGCTACATGCCCGCTATGCGCTGAGCCCGCTCGCGCAGCGTCCAATTGAAATTGTTGTTGTTGTTGTTGTTGTTGTTGTTGTTCGCTCCGACGTTGACGTAAACGCGCGAAGACCGACATGCCGTGTGTATTGGTTTCAACAGCACACTTGAAGTGCCCTTCACATTGGTGTGGCCGACGTTTCGTGCATGCGTGAGGGGTGAGAGGGGGGACATGCCGTTTGTATTGGTTTTTACAACACATCCTGCGGTCGAAGTGCCTTTCGCATCGGTGGCGTCGGTGTTTCGTGCGGGTGCAGTGTGGTTTAGGGTGGGGGGGGGGGGTGGGGGACACTTAACGATTTATACACGTACGGAGAATACACTCTGAATCCATCACTCGCGACTGGCATGAAAAACTGAGACCTGTAGTGTGTTATTTTCTATATACATATTATTTTGAATTATCTTTTTTCATTCATTCTTATAGCAAGAACTGAATTAGTCTCTTATCAAATGTCTCTAGTACTATTTCGCGATGAAGAGTACAGGCTTTCAAAAAGCGCTATCAAACAGCATAGGAGGCTTCACTTGTCACAGGAGTCTCGTGATGCATATCACAACCTTCGATCTTATATCAAGCCGGTTAAAGTTCGGAATCTCACATGCTGACGAAAGTCAATATTCACACGTGCTTGTCTCTGGGCGTTGAAGGGAGGACCCGCAAAAACATGGGCCACTTTGCTCGTGAGGTTTGAGGTCGCGCCAATGGAGTTGGGTTGCAGGCAGGGTATGGGGTGGGGGCATTCCCTTGTGAAACTCGGCTCTGTCCCAGATGTGCATGACAGATTACATAGGCAATGGGAGGAACTGCAACTTTGGGGATCCAGCTGTGATAAAGTCACGCGAAGCTGCCTGAGTGAGCGATACCCGAGTGTAGGCAGCTGTACAGCAGCATGTCAGCTGGGTCCCGCCGGGGCCATACCTCGATGGTGCCTGCAGACATCAGAGATGCATTCACCCGCAACTCTATACCTGAAACGAAAGTAGACTGGGCTGTAGGGCGCACTGCGACTGGAACATTCCAGTGGGGCTACCAGATGCTGCATCCAAATTGAGGTAACAAAGGTGACATGATCAAAACAAACCTGACCTAGGAAACGATTGTCTTCCGTATGTGGGGTTTGCTGTTGCCGGGGTCTGTAGCGTAATATTAGCGCATTTCTAAAAGAATAATGCGATAAAATAGAATGGAATTTCGCCGGGATACAATATGTAAGTAATTCTACCAGTCATGTGGGGATTGAAAGGGGGTGCATGCCTAAACATTCGGACCCCTGCATCATTGCAGTATTTCAAGAAAACTGCAGCTGGGGTTGGGAACTCCAACCCCCCGAACCGAAACCCCACATTCCGAAGCCCTGAAGCCTAGATTACATTGTCTTATGGATGTTAGCGTTCAGGGCTTAGGGGTGGAGCCCTGAACCTAAACCCAACCCCCAGGCCCAAAACCTTCCGGGTCTGCAAATTATCGGGGAGTTTTCTTACAGCTTCGGACATCGACTCGTTCTGAAAGCCAGCAAAGATCCTAAACCCGAAAGTCTTTTCCCTCCAGGCCCTAACTCCCAAACCCCTCGACTCTAAACCTCACCAACCCCCGCACAAACCGTAAGCACCCTAAACCTCAAATACCTGAGTCTACACCTCGTTTTACACCCTAAACCACTTAAACCCTCCTGAACCTCACCAACAACAAGTAAACCTAGACCTGAAACCGCAAAAGCCCTAAACCTGAAAAACACGTCAATATGTGGGAGCCTCCCTGTATTGTCCCTCAACCGTCATAATCGTATACAGCAAGACCCACTTTTCTATACGTCTGGCCCTCCATACTAGTTGCCCTAATCCTGTCGTCCATCGAAAGCGAGGGGAGTTTCTCAATCCCAACGTTGAGCCCCCTGAAGAAAGGGCTTCCTGATACCAGTATGCCTTGGACTCATATAGACTGGAGAAGGCCTCAAGATATGTCATGCCGGATGAGGCTACACTGTGAAAGATCTGTTGGCTTGGCACCCAGAGCCTTCGCAACACCAACCCCTAAAAAGCCATCAAGCAACACATGAAACGCGAAAGCAAGTAAACACAGGAAACCATCCTGGGATCACTCAGCTCCAACACCCCAAGCATCCACATCCCTCAACTCTCGACCTCCAAACCCAAGCCCTCCGCACACAGAGCTGGATGTAGGGTTGGAGCCGCTTGGGTTGGGTGAGGACTTGTAGACGTTACAAGGGTTTGGGATCATGAGGTCTCACGTCTCGGTGATCTGGATAACAAGGATCCTATAGCCCAGGATGGTTTTCGATGGCTTGGGGGTTTAGACAAGGAGGTTCTGAAGTGTACGACCGTTTGCAGCAAACCAAAAGACCGTTCACCGCGCTCCTCACCCTCAGACTCCTTGCAGCTCGCAAGTGCCCAACTTGCTAAGTTATTGGCCTGTTTGACAGGGGTTGGGGTTTTTACAGCCAGTGAACGGCAGGATTGAACCCCGGAACGCCAAAGGTTACCTGCTCAGCTACGGAGCCCTGACGAACCACCCGTTCACAGCCCAAAAAAATACCATCCGAACGTCCCTCAAGCTCCAGACCCTTTTCTCCACACCCGGGAGCCACTGTGGAGTAGCGAGTAGCCCTTAAAGGCCCCACGCCAGGAAGCTATCAAAGTGCATTTTGTGGAGATTAAAGCCAGAGAGCCTTTGGCGAAGGGCCCCCCGGGCCCAAGGCTGAACTTTAAACCCCTAAGCCCAAGCGAAGGTCTGAGAGCAGCCTGCAAACGGGCCTTTTGCTGCAATCACAGCGAACCCTCTGCCGTGCCCAAAACCTCAAAGCGGGGTCTGGGCAAATCAATGTTCCGATACAAGTAGCTGGAAGGAATATTGCCCCAACACTCCAATAACGCCGAGTTCACGTTGCGTGTTCCCTCCGTGCCCTAGCCCAAAGCTTTGTTGAAACTTTCCATCGGCTAGCACTTACAGACTTGCTAGGCCATGCGCCATGAGCACGATGAAAGTCCCTCATCCTGGCGATCTTCTTTGTGACCATTTCTTCGGTACTGCCACCGCCTGCATTTCTTTTGCCACCTATCATACCACCAGATGCACCGATCCGTCTACGCATGGTGGAAAGTGCTCGCTTGGCTATCGGCCTTTGAGTTTGCTTCTCCTTTGTCGTATACTTCTTGCAGCTTGTCGATTTTGCAGCCGTTGACCAAGAAAACTCCCTGCACGTGCTGGAGCGATGCTGTCGTTGGATCATCACTGGAGGATCGATGTATGCGAAAGTTGTCTTCCCAGCACGCGCATCGCGAGACTGCCATGCAGCAAGGGCCCCGTCCGCCGACATTCCTTGCTTTTTCCGTTTATCCTACGGCAGGTATTTGAGACAGCCAAAAATGAGGGTTTAACAGACCTGCCTTTCGCGTGGTATTCGGCCAGCTCCGGTACCGCCGATACTTTGATGATGTATGCGTGAGCCAGGTAGCAGCGTTCCGCCATGCGCAATCTGTGCCTTCGCAGGGGTTTGCACAAACAAACATATGTTTGGGTCGGTCATTTAATGACAATTGTGCGCCTGCCACCCAGCTGATGCAACACTCGGCGTTTGCTCTTCGCCATCCCGATAGGGTTGGCCCCGAGCTGGATGACTTTCCACCCTTCCTCCGTGATCTCCATGCTTCGCAAAGCTGCGTGCACCGTTTCTCTGAACTGGTTCGGGGTGACGCTGTCCGGCAAGCTTGCGTCATCCTCCAAGATGAGGACGTATTCTGAACCGTGGGCTGCAGCAATTTCGGTTGCTGCCTGGGCGGCCTGGTTTAACATATATATATATATATATATGTATACAAACATAAGCACATACTTGGTGGTGCACGGTTCCATCGCTAACTGAAGACACATGTCGGAGACACGGTATCCAATGATGACGCATGACAACAAACGCTTTTCCGCAAGATCCAAAGATTCCGTTGTTGCAGCGGTTTTCACATCAATGGCGAAGTCTGCGGTATCGACGTCATTCGACATCGTTGACCTCTGAGATATGAGGAGCGGCCGTTTCCCGGTTGGTGTTTAGAGACTGAAAGCAAAGGAAATCGAAGTGAAACGTACGTGCGGGCAGGGCGGGTGGGCAAACACACGTCAGATTGGTTCTTTTGCCCCAGCAGGCCACGAAACATGTATTGAATGAATACTTCGATCCACGGATGTCGATCCATTGACGCATGAAGAGCGAAGGAGTTGTCACTTGGCACACAAGTGTGCTGCACGACAACAAACGCTTTATGACACGTGGACCCTGGTGGTGCGGACAAGAGACGCTTGTCGAAAAAAGGTGTTTAGACGCTTCAAGACGCAGGCGGGGCGGAAAAGACGTTTCTGAGAAAAGGCGCTTAAACACGTTTGGACGCTTGCATCAAAATTCCGCGCCCCTATTTCTCCTGCAATGGTGTTGTCGGCTGGTTGTCTTCAAAATATGTCTTTGCAATTGGCGACGGCGGCGAACTTCCTGCGGGAACAGCTTTGCGGCTGCACGTTGCGCTATGGAACAGCGGTATGCTACACAAGTTGAGCTGAGTTTGGACTTCCTGCCTTCTCGTGGCTGAGGGTGCAGCCAATGTTGCCCCAAAGCCTCGTCCAGCCCATCCGGAGCCCTGTTCCAAACCGGAAAACTCGAGATTCTCGGTCCTTCGTGTCAACGTTCCATGTAGCCCGCAACATCCCGCTGCCCAGTAGCTTGATGCGCCCTGCCTGATACCAGATTGGAATTAATTTTGGGAAGCTCCATGCCGGGGGTGCTGTGGCGCGCCCCTCCGATTTGCAACATAAACTCAGAAGCCACGCAGCACAATGTGAGGATGCTTACCCCGGAGCTCGATGATTAGGTTAAACCACGAAAACAGTCATCAACAAATGAGCCCTCCCATGATATTGGAATCGGTTGTGCAATCCTAAAACCTTATGCAGCGAGTTTTGAACCTTTGTCCAAGCAGCTTTGCGGGTTTTGAGCTCTTGTCCGTTGACTGCCGCCAGCCAGGTCACGCGTGTTGCGTTTAAAGCGCACATCAGCTCCTTCATTTGTTTCATCTTCACATGGTCCTTTGCCAAGTTGATGATGATTGTTGGGACATCGAAGTTCATGGATGCCATTGCCAAGCTAGTGCAAAAGATCTGCACTCCAAAGCTGTGCGTCAACAGCCCCCCCCCCGTATGAGACCACAGCTTTCCACATACATCAATTAAGTGCAGAGTGCGTTGGGGGCATGCGTGGAAGCAGAAGCCTCGGGTATAGTGTGTTGGACCTTCTAAATTTCTAAAATGTAAATCGCAACATAGTCGCTTCTTTCCTTTTCCGCAATCTAGGTAGCCGACATGGATGAACAGCCCTTGAGCATAAGTAGGGAGCGGCACCAAAAACGTTGATGCTTGAACACACTTGAACACCCCCTTCAATTCTACACCTTGAACAGCGTAATTCATCCTCTGGCCTGATACAGTCGGATCGAGATCGACGAGTGGGAGACTTCGCATAACCTAAGACCGGGAAACTCTGACGGCTTGATGCCAGCATGCAGTGGCGTGTTTAAGCTACGCTCCGACCACTGGCCACAGAGCACAGCTTGCCAGCCGATGGGGGAGTTGAACGAGTTTGAGCTATCCGCTCTCCCTCCATCTAAACCTGTAGTTCTTTATTACATTACTGTTGACCCAAGGCGGAAACAAAGGGCGGCGCCTTGCTTGAACGTCAGTGCCTTCCAAGTTTGGGTCTACCCTAGCCTTTCCCCTGCTGATCACCGTCGTGCAAAGTGACTTCCTGGCACATCTTGTCCGATCAAACCTTTCATCACCTAAACTACCTAAACCGTAATTAGGGGGCACACGGAACTCAATCAAGAAGGTCTGGCACTTATCAGCGAAACAACGTCCTTCACATGCAGTGGAGACGGCAGCACATGAGCCGATGTTAAAACCAATGTGTCGTAAGCTACAGACCTACACTTGCACACATTTCTTTAGTATCTGTTTTCATTACACATGCATACAGTTTGTACATATTATATATATATATACACATGTATACGCATGTTGTACTGCATAGATTGTACATATGGGGGGGAGAGAGATGTGTGTGTGTGTATGTACATATATGTATACTTATAATACATATACATGCTCACAAACTGAGATCTAGACATATATATATATATATTTATAATATGTGTGTGCATACACACCCTTTGCATGTAAAGGAATCAATGAGTCCAGAAGGATTTTGGACTATGTTTTCTTGTCTTCACTTCCACGCTTCAGCGACACACGTTTAAGATCAACGCCAAGCAACAGCTCCACTTCACAACAGTTTCCTCTCAAAAAACTAAACCCGTAAACCCCTAAACTAAGGCCTCCTAAGCCCAAACTCGAGCTCGGGGATCCCACGGTTGGAGCCACTCCCCAGCCCAGGCTTGGTCCAGGATGTGGCGGCCTCTGCCAAGGAGGGCTTGTTTAGAGGATTCGGGTTTGGGGTTGTTGGGGCCTAGGGTTTTGGGGTTCAGGGCTTATGGGTTTCGGAGAATTAGGGTCCATAGTGCTTTTGGGGTGTTGGCTTGGCTTTCCAGCCATGCATTCCTTGAGCAGGAGACCATTCCATGTTCACGTTATGTGACTGTCCCACTTCCTGATTCGGGATCCGGGTCTCAGCAAGCACCGCTGCAAGTAACGAAGCACAAGTTGAGTCCACTTCAGACACGTACAGTATTATCGTCCGCTTTCCTTGAGGGACACGGGTTAGCCACTCCCTTCGTAGCGTTGTAGTAACCCCACCGCCTCAGATGTGCGTCAAATCCCAATGATCCCAGATGGTGATTACGTAGGCATGGGCTAAGCCCTAGTTAGAAGGTATAATACTGTGGGTTTGAGCATCTGCGCCTCCTCCGTAGCAGCTTCTGAGAGGTCGGGGATGTTTCTGGGGGCCTTAAGGTTCAGATGAAATGATGGTTTGGGGCCACCTACTGTGTACCATACAAGTGTAAATATCTCAGAGCCTGGCAAGGAATAGTATTCGTAATTATATCCAGGCCCCTGTATGAGGGATGGGTGAAGAGATGGTGAAGAGCATGGGCTGCCAGGCTGCTACTAGTAGCAAGCTCCGTAAACTTTTTCAACTCTCAGTAGGGCATCAACCAGAGGGCGAAGCGATTCGACCCGTCGCTACAGTTCTTCTGATCCCACTGAAGTCTTCAAGTATCCGAACCCTAACTCCCGAAGTGTCTATTTCGCGTTGCCTGATAACAGCCAGGCACTCTGGACCGTGTATGCCCTCCCGAATCCATAAACCCGATAAACCCCACTCACCCCAGATCCTAAACTCCAGCCTGCAACATGCACCCCACACCCTCAACCCTAGACCCCAAACCCCGAACTGCTACAGCCTAAAGCCTACAGCCCTTCACAAGCGCGACACCCCAAGCCATGCTGCCCATGATCGCCTGCCTCGCTGTGCCAAGATCCTCCTGAAGTTGTCCTGTCCACCATGACATCCCCTTATGCCTAGAATAAGGTTTTCGTGTATATTAGATTGCAAAACTGTTTACATAGGGGAGTCTTCTATTTATGGCTTTATGGCTGCGAGTGAAAGGCTCGGAGATTAAAGGGTTTCTTAAGGACTTCAGCGTTCAGGGTTTAAGGGTTTCTCACGGTGTTAGGGTTCAGGTCTGAGTTTTTTTCTGGGTTTGGGTAGAGTTCTGGTGTATTGCACCTTATCGTACCTAACAAGGACGAGCGGGATCGATTGAGCCAGCTGGTTGAACATGAGATCGGCCGACGAGAACTAAATGCAGGAATGATCTCACGGCTGGGGTCGGGCCAGAAGGCAGTAGGCCTTGCTCACTCGCCTGCTTAATCGCGTCTCCGTCGAACCCGGACACCTCTAGAATTAGAATCTCTGTCCCTGCATCTTTCTCTTCCCCGTTCTCGTTCCCAGCAATTCTAGAATACTTCTGTACATCTGCCTGCCAGCGATTGGGTCAGCAAATTTTTGCTCTTTTGGTCTGCTGCGCTTCCATCCGGAGTACGATGTTGGGAAAACAATGGATGTGAAACATGGGCGCCTTTCACCTTTGGGGCTGTTTAAAGATCTTGTCGACACGTTTTACTGAGGCCTCACACGGTTGTAGCAGCACGGCAAGGGTTTTTGAACAACACTACCGCAAAAGTCACGGAATAGTTGCTATGGGCATAGGCGGATCACCGGTGCGCCCTCAAAGAGGTCCACCACAGGGAAAATGGGTGTCCTCAGCGAGCTGAATCGAAGTTTGGACAGCTCGATGTTCCGGGCCACTTGGTTGAAGACACTTTGAGTTAGGGATCCTGGCTGTGGGGGCTACGTGATGTCGAGAGCCAAGCGTATGCGGTCCTCGCATTCCGACGGCTTTGAGTGTTTAGGGTGTGCAACAGAAACCCTTGAACATCTTCAGACGCCTTGAACGTTGTGCAGCTGAGCTAAAGCAAACCAAAGGAAGTAGTCATGATTACGATTACGGTCACGCGCCTTCGAGGCATTCGGAGCATCAAACAAGTCTAATCCCGAGCCTGCACCTGCGAGCCCGAAATCACAGGTCTCCGCAAGCCCAAACTCCCGGTTCTCAAAATAAGGCAATGCAATGCACTCCGTCCTTGCCGTCTCATGTCTGCAACTGGGTCGCTCCGTGGGAATCTGCGCCCGCCACTGGGCACGTGGGTTCCCGTTCCTGACGTCACTCACAGTCCGGCCCATTTCCCGAACACCTTCCGTCCAAACGAAGCGCGAAGGATCCAGAGAGCCCAGTGGTCAGGTAGATGAGTCTAGTTGCTGTGGGTTGGTAGTTTGTAGCGTTTTGGGGAGTAGAGGAGGAGACACTTGAAACCTCACAAAAGAGGCAAGAACCCTCTGAAAGCTCACGGCCCGCAAGACTTCCGGGCACCAGCTGACAGGCGAGAGTCACATCGAGCACAATCTCACCAGCTTCGGTGACCGTCAGCCTGCGCTTCACCGGCTTCGGCTTCAAGGGTTTAGGGTTTAGGCATTTCGAGCCACATCTTCCTGCGTGACTCCTCACTACTCGGTCTGTCAGTCTGCGTTTTACGAGCGCATACCTACATGTGAGTGTGTGTATACACATGTCTACGGACACACACGCAGTTACATATACGTTGACATGAACACATGCATGCGTTTCTCTGCTGCCCGGCCGAGGCGAGAATTCTTATTGGCTCCGTTTTGAGAAGAATTTGAATTTGACTTCCGCCTTTGGAGACGTTCGTCGTTCTTCCGGGATTTCGGCTTGCGGGTTGAACCTAGGAATGGAAAAGATCCATCAGAGGAGTCAGGGTGAAGCCCGGAACCCAAAACCCCAAAACCCCTAAACCCTAAACCCTAAAACCCCTGCCTCAAAAGGTCACCTGCCAGGAGGGACCTCGCGTTCCACCGCTCGTCTCGGATCCTCAGTCCTCCGCCACAGAAGGGAAAGTTGCTCAGGTTCTTTACAGGGTAATCCTATTCCGTTAAGGGTTCTAGAAGTTCTATATACAAGCATTATAGGCTCCATATTAATTCCTGTTTACGGGCTCTGTATACAAGTATAGGCTCTACCAAGTGTAAGTTTCGTGTAGATAGTACAAGAAGGGATCTATAAGGGCTGCAAGGCTTTTCGTTCGAGCTCCTCAACCTTCTTGGAGATGGCCTTCTTCATCTTGCAGCATGTGGCCAGGACTTTTCAAACAAGCGCGGAAATTTCTCGAGTCAAAGCCACAAGCCTTGCGACGCAGAAAACCTATACAGGCTTAGACTTGAATCCCTGAAAGATGCACCACCGCCCAGCAGGCAGGCACCAGCTACGCTATAGCTCGAAAGTCACATGTCTTGTTAACATTAGGACCACTATCATCATTATCACCATCATAACCTTCTTCCTCCTCACCATCGCCTCCATCATCATCATCATCAGCAGCAGCAGCATCGAGATCATCGTCAGGATAGTGATGATCGTGGCCATCATCATCATCATCATCATCGTCATTATCATTGGACTGTACGCGTTCTTCCCCATGTTCTTACAGGCAAGCACCATCGGGATGACGATTAGTACTGGTACTCTTAACCTGTGCCACACGTGTCCTGCATGGCTGCCGACAAGCAAGCCGGAGGACTCCACGATCCAGCTGCTCAGCAAATCCTTCACCGCTGTTTTGTGAAGCTCTCTGAAGCAGATGTCCCAAAGCAATTTGGCGTTGTTTTGTCAGGGCTACCATGAAGGCTGTGGAAGGGAATATATACAATAGATACTAGTTACCATGCCTATCGGGAAGCGAGCTGCCCTGCAGAGGCAAACGAGCAAGGATCTGAATGTGAGCCTGAAAAGCATTGCAGGCAGGGCGCACAATTGAAGGATCAGGAAATCGAAGTGGGTGAACTGACAATTCCAAGCGCCGCAGTTCGGATTTCCGAAGCCCATGATCCGAAAGCCTGGGTCTAAACACCTTTTGTCTTGCCGTTCAGATTCGCGAATACACCTTGGAACTTCCTCGTACAGCCACAACAGCCATGCAGGACTGGAGTAGGTTTTTTGAAGGTCTGGAGCGACTGGTTCTGTAAAGGGGGGATTTAGGTCGCCACCAAACCCGAACCCAAATCCCCGAGCGTGAAGCCCAAAACCCTGACGTAAACTCTCAACTGACGTCCACACTCATCCTGTTGTTGGGGCTCCCTGATCCGATAAATCCCAAGTCCGAGGATTCATAAACCAACTTGCTTCCGCTATCAAGGCCATATAGAGCCCTGCGGCCATCCTATCCAAACCCACAAAACAGCCCTACATATAACAATTCCTGCCGGAATCCCCTCCTATAAAAGGGATCCTAGATATGTCTCGGTGTGCCTCGGCGAAGGCAACCTGAGGACGTGCCCGCCGGGCGAGGTTGCCACTGCCCCAGTGCTCGTGGGGAGCCTCTGGAAGAACACACGGGGGTTGAGGGTTTAGGGCTTAGGCTCTAGGTTTCAGCGTGGTTGTTCCTTTGGTGAATGTGTGGTTTTCAAGTATTTTTTGTGAGTACTTTAGCAGGTTTTCTCGTAGGGTCTGAAGGCAGGCTCTTTGGTAAGATATTGTGCGCACAGAAGGACAGGGTTAGGTAGTTTGTTGCTTTGCACACGGTGGGGAAACCTCCAGCCTCAGCTGAGTGGATCTGTCGCAGGCCGACATGCGCCATGCCATGCGAACGGAACGCAAGGGCTGGGGCAGACGCTCCAAACCCTAGGAGGATCCCGGCCTTCGCCGTAACACCGATGTCCAAGCGCTCGCAAGGTGACAGGACCTCTGATTACTGGTTTCCCCAAAGCACTGCCGGATCCGATACTTTCAGAAATCTGAGACCATGATGCTCAGCTACTGTGAACACGTAAGTCACTGCGCCTAATTCCATGAAGCTCTTATTAGATGCTCATAGTTGTATTCTTCGTGATAATAGCAATACCTCTCTTTTGGACGTAACAATAAGATTCGTATCCTAAAACCTATCGTCCCAATGCCTCTTGGCCCTAAAAACCCTTAACTTTCAAAACAACAAAAATCAACAAAACCGTATTGTAGTAGCACTATGTAGCATGTACAGCAACCGAATATCAACCCCTAATAGGCCCTAATATTTGCGACTCGGATCATCTTCGCAGCCTGGAGCTCCACCGCGAAGCTGCGCGAGCCATCGCCGCGGTGCTGCAAAGGCCCCGTGCCGAGTAAAAGGCCGCCTCCTGCTCCAACCCAGGCACTCGGGTTCAAATTATATTATATGTGTATATGTATGTATATATATATATATATAGTCAGATACAGTCAGATATTGTATACTCAATAGTATATAAATATAAAAATATATATATATATATATATGCACATACTGTATACATACGTACATACATACATATATATGTATAGATAGACGTTGCATATGGTACGGCTTTATTGAGCGTTTCTGAGTTAGGGCTTCGCTTTAAGGTTTAGGTCTGCAAGCCTGTAGAAACATGGCGGGGTGTTTTCCAAACTCCGTATCAATGCAGGGTCCTTAACATAAGTTTGGTTGAGGGTTCGCTCAGGGAACCCTGATTTAGGGAGCTACCCTTGTACCAGCTTGGGTTTGCTCTAGTAAGAGCTGGGAGTGGGTGTGTTTTGACTATACCGGCAAAACCTGTCGGCTCTTGTGTAGAGGTTCGCTGTGCAAGCCAAACAACTTCCATGATGCAAGCGCTCTGAGAGAGGTTTCTGCCCCAACAGAGCATGGAAAGAGTCCGACTTGAAAGCTCTGATGCCATGCCCACCCGAAACCCCTATGAAACGCTTGGGCGCCGTTGAAGAAAACCCTTACAGAACCCTTGAAACGAACCCTTAAAAAGTTCCTTCTACGGGCTACAATATGGGGTACCATATAAGGGGGCTCTTGGATATAGGGGCCTTATAAGAATTTGAACAAATATAGTGGGCTCCTTTGGAAGGAGCC